TAACCACCAAACGATCGGACTAGACTACCAAAGACCACCAAACGACCACCAATCGACTCCAATTAATTCTTCTTCTTCTATTTTATGGCGCTATACTATATGCTCCATCACGGATGTAAACGGCCATTATTCCATTCGGATTGTATGTCGGCTCAGCAGATGGCGTAAGCCACAACTGTTTATTGAGGGGGGAGTAAGGCGGAAACTTTAAATATAAAGTTCGCAGGAATTAAAGAAGGCGAGCAGCAAACGACATAACTTGGGAGTGGGGTTCCTGATGAGGGGAAATATGTTTATGGGTGAGGTTGGGAATTTCTCCCGGAGGTATTTGAGATTCCAATTAATGAAAGTTCGATACGTTGAAGTTGTCCGGCCAACTTCATAGAGGTACTTGTAGTATAGCATATCTTGACTAAAATCAACATGGCGGCAAGCATCACGGCTGAGATGCCTGTCAGCGGTCTAGTATTGTATAGAAGTCTACTCGATGATAATATCTAAATATTATTTTATAAATTAAAATCTCACATTTTTCATCCAAACCCCAGATTTCTAGCAGTTTGTATTTGGACACGACTCCCTGCGACTGCAACGTTTGTACTATTGCTTGAGCGCGTGGTATCAACCTGAAAAAATCGTATTGAATTGATGTAATCTATTCGATGAATCAACGTGAAATCGAAAGGAGATAGAATAACGATTTACCTGGCCCATGACTTGGTGATGCTCCCAGGACCCCTATTCTGTAACTCTAACGACAGTGTCGGTATCGTTATGTCGTCGTTGCGCAGCTTTTTTTCCATATAGTATACCTGCGCAACGACAACGTAACGATACCGACACTGTCGTTACAAGTTACAGAATAGGGGTCCAGGCATATATGTAATACTCCTATATTGCTAGTGGCGTATCCTCACAATAGGCGGTAGCGACGCCGAGAAAGTGAGATAGACATACAATATATATAGGTGATCATGTACTACGAACGTTATACGCATGCGCTGGCGTAACCGGTTTGGTGGGGTTGACTTGACGCTACAAATCTTTCTTCTCTTTCTGGCTGTGTTCCTTTATTCACTGCCAGTACTGAAAATCTATAGTTACGTGACGCAAACTATATATTTTCAGCATTGCCAGTAAAAAAGGAACACGGGGTCTGTCTTTACTGAAAGAAAAAAGAAGAAAAATGCTTCGAAGCATTTGTAGTAGCAAATCCACCGCAGACTTAAAAAGCTGTATTTAATAATAAGATTTAAATATTATCTGTTAAAAGAAGAAACAATATAATACAGTTATAATATTTATTTTTATTGTCTCTCTTATGCTATAAAACAAAAATGTAAATTATATAAAATAATTTGCTATAAAACAAAAATAAAAAATATAAAAGTGACATAAAAACAAAACAAAAAGAAAATTTTTATATAATATATGTACGTATCTGTATATAATACTAAAACTAGTAATAACATAATAATACTAAAACTATATACTTTTACATAATACTAAAATTATAAACATTTGTAAACATAATACATAAAAACTATTGATGACTAAATAAAATAAGTTTTGTATATTTTTGACGAATAAAATTATTTTTGATAGACATATTTTTGGCTTCGTGAAACAGTCTTACGTTTATGTATAATGATATTATATGTTTACACAATTGTGTTCTATGATTGTCAAGTACATCTTGAGATAATATATGATTTTGCATAACATCACTAGAAAATGGAGATAATAATCTACGATATATAGTAATTGTTAAAAATTGTTTAATTTTATTTTTTCGCAATTCATTTGTATATTGCCGGATAGTTGTTTCTGACATTTTACAAATCCTGTATACATCATCAGATGGTTTTAAATATGGCCCTCTATTTTTTAGTTCTGATAACAAAGGCATTTTATCACCCAATAATTGATTTTTACAAAAATCACAAGTTATAATTTTATATAATTTATTACAAATATATCCTGCTATATATTGTACTATATTATCTATATATGGTGTGAGCTGCCAAAATGTGTTTATATAATCATGCTCAAAAATGAGTGTTTCCTCATCAGTATTATCTATTTCTTCATTTGCTATGGGACACTTAAACATTTTTGAATTTGATGATACATGTAAAATTTCTAAACTATCAGAAAGACAATTGCCGTTATCAAACTCTTTTAATTCATGCCTGATTAATAGACGTTTGTATGCACTTTTCAGTTGCAAAGCATTCGGATTATTATTAAAACCACCACGACTTCGTATAGCACTAAAAAACGTCTCAAGAAAATCTTGAGACAATTTATATGTTAATAAATACGTCATTCCTAAAGATTTTAAACAATCAAATAAAGGAAAAATATTTCTTAAACATATAATTAGTCCAAGAAATCCAGTTTTTCTGTTAGTTTTTAATATGGGAGTACCTGTTTCATCCTGTAATGTATTAATATAGTTTTCAAAATTCTTAGCATGTATTTGTAATTGTGTATAATTTTCAGAAGTTAATGGTTTGTTAAAATTATGCCGGGAAAATTTGTTTTTGCAATTTAATATATCACCCATGTTATTGAAGTTCAAACAGAATTCTGCAGTTGCTTTGCAATTAGCAAATTGACGTTTTATTGCAGGATCTGGTAACATTAACAAAAACATGAATGATTTATATACACTTTCACTTAAAGTTTGTATTGCTAATTTAACATTCATTTTATTATTTTGAAAATTTATATGTTTGCTACTGAGTTTGTTAGCAGCTTTTAAACCTTCTTTTTCTTGCAATTCGTGAAGATTAACTATATGACTCCATTCAATTTTTTCACCATTTGATGTTTGTAAAATCTTTTTGTCTCCTATAGCATTTCTCACTAATTTGATCATATGACAAAAGTCGAAAAACACATAACATTTTTCTGATGTAACAGGATTTGTAAAATATGGTTTAAAATCACTTCCATATGTAAAATTTGCACCCAAAGCAGTACACATGCTGATGTTACTTGGAGCACCATCAAAAGTAATAGAAAATACCTTACAATTTATTTTATGTAATTGTTCGAATGCAAGCGTTAACAGATTCGAGCGTTCTGTGCCATTTAAGGATCTTATTAAAAAATATCCAATTGGGACTTTCCAACTATCATTTAGAGATACTGCCATAAACACTAAAGCATTTTTAGCTGTAAAAGCAGATTTATTTGCATTATTTTCTTCATTTTCTAACGTACCAAAATCAATACCACCATGAAATTTTTCTTTATCAAAAATCATCTCTTCTCTTATTGCCATTTCATCTATAACTAAATTAATAATAAGAGGTTTAGAATTATTATTATTATGCAATGCAATGGCATTTAATGCTTCATCCGTGAAACCTGGAGATCCATTGACTACACGATACCAATTCCGTATCGTCGAAGGATTTGGTAATAAGTTATTCCACGTTTTTCGTACATAATTATATGCTTTGGGTGAATAGAAGTGCAACGTTAATGCAAAACTACGTATTTCAGGAGAATAACTACCACCTTTTTTCAATTTTCTTGTTACTATTGCCTTTACAGTTTCTGGTAATATATTCTAAAAGGAATAAAAAATAAAAATAAGCATATATTTGACTCAGCATTGCATATATCTTATTTCATTTTTTTAAATTAAATTTAATCAATACATAATACAATTTGTTTAATTTTGTATTATGTATTATTGTATATAAATTGTATAATTAATACATTGATTTACTTAATTTGTTATAATTATATAATAAAAAGTATATAAATATAATTGTGTATATAATATGATTTGTGTAAAATGTTGATTGTATATAAATTATATATAATTAATTGTATATCTAAATTCATATATCTAAATTGTATATCTAAATTTCCATTAATATATAAAATATACTGTAATAAGTTCAATATTTTGAAGATCATGTTGGGCATGTATAAATATATAGGGAAGAGAAGAGCACATTTGAACATTGAGTACATTTAAACATCCTTTAAATTTTGATATTGTAGCATGCCATGAAAAATGTGTTAATTCAGGAATTAGTCACCTAATAGGACATTATTGATATTAATAGACACTAATGGCATCGATTTTGGTATATTTTAGTAAACTTATTAATTATGGTATATAGAATATGTAATGTCAAAATTTAAGGATTGTTCAAATGTACCTCCATTTTTCCTCTACAAAAAATATGTATTATTACTATTTTAACATATACTCTACCATTAAATGATCTCCAGCATCATCAGAAATTAAACTTGATTCTTTTAAATGAGACATTAAATCCTGTAATTTAGCAATTCGCATTACAAGCCGTCTATTTTGGTCTTGTAAAGATTTTATTTGTTTGCGTTTCTTTTCGTCCTCTGTTTTAATATATTTAATTACTCTCCTCGCTTTTCTCGGTGTACTAACATCAAAGCTATTGATTTCTGATATATATCTAGGTTCTGCAAAAAAGCGTTTTTTCGGAGGAGAATAGCAGTCCTCTTCAGAATCTATAAAATATTTATTATTACAAAAGCATTATTACAAAAACATTCGTATTATTTTGCAATAAGAATGTGTATTTTTATTTGTTTTTATATAATTTACATTTAACTTACTTGAATAAGAAACCTTTGATGTTGACGGAGCATCACGATCACAATTTATATCATCAGATATATTTAAAGATGTTTCAATTGATTTTGGTATATTAGTACTATCTTTTAGCACATTTGATAATAATATTGGTGGATGATTTAAAGATATTTCTGGTAAAGTTGTTACATTTGTTGTTGAGACATCAGTAATATCTAAGTTGGGTATAATACCAAGAGGTAGTTTCCATTTTTCTTGTACAATTAAATTTCGAGGTACTTTAAAATGAAGTGAGCAAAGAAACAAATGGGATACATCATCTGTCTCCTGCAATCCGCAAATTTCAACCCATTTTTTACATATTTCTGGATTTTTCGGAAATCTAAAAATTTAATTTTTATTAATTTGTAAGCGATCGTATACTTGATTATTTTTTATTATTTGTCAATTAATTTACTTGTGTAAAGAAATCTTTTCGGTCTTTGATGCAAATCTTCCACATAGGTAACAAGATCGCATTTTTATTTATTTTCTTTCACTCGTGGGTGCGACTGTTTCGTGTGAGACTGAGAGGTTAGAAAATTATAATGGGCCTGTTCTTTATCGCTACACTGCTGCATCAGTGCAGTGCAATAAGTACAACTCTCATTCATGAAACGCGCGCATGCGCATTTGGGTCGTAGTACACGAACTGTGGAAGTGAGAGGTTGATATATGTCTGCACCGTGATGTTTGCGTCAGCGTTTCAGCTTGACTAGCAATATAGGAGTATTACATATATGGGTCCAGGTGTCGTCAGCAACGACGGAACAAATCGTTTCAGCTTAGGGTACACTTGACCCTCCAAGGCTGCGTTCAGATTCCCCACCCGGGTGCACCCAGTCACCCAAAAAGCGTTCAGATTCCTTTTAGGGTGCTCCTGCCGGACGTTAGGTGGGACGTTCACATTGTCACTCTATCTACCCGAGAGGGTGGAAAAACCACACGGGTCCTTGAGCCGGGTGGAACGGGTGGGATGACGCATCAAAGGACTTCTTCCTGTAGTAAAAGGTGCGTTCCAAAATGCATCGACAATCGACAATATGACAATTTATATTTGAGGTTAGTACGCTACAGATATTTAATATTTTCAATACAGTATTTCAATATTTTTTGATACTTATAAAATATACAGATGACATTCATGCGCAATGGACATCATCTAATTTATGTCGAAATAAGAATCCTCCATCCTTTGAATTGATTTGTCCTGTTATACGTACTAGTATTTAATTCTCTACTAGTTACACGGATCAAGACATATCTTGGTAAGATATTTATGTATTATCGTTTATTGTTATTTTATATATTATGTAATTTATTCTGAATCTGAGATACTTGTGTTACTATTTGTTGTAGCCGTTACCTGCTACTGTTAAACATGGATGAACGTAGGCGAGCTGTTGCACTTACTGCGATTACTCTCAGTAATGATTTTCTCCGTTGCCATGTAATTTTCGATACAGATAGTGAAACCAGTGATTCTGATTTGGATGAAGGAGATATGAGAAGAAGATTTCAATTACGTGGAGGTCGACGGAAGCCTCCAAGGATAAAAAATTACGTTGAAGTAACTGTGCCAAGATTTAACACACAGCAGTTTAGAAGGCATTTTCGCATGACCCCAGCAACGTATGAAAATTTAGAAGCAAGGCTTAGTCCTATTCTCTCTTTGTCTGAAGGAAAAGCTGTAATTCCACTGAGAAAGCAATTATTGGGGTCGTTGTGGTTATTGGCAACACCTGATTCATATCGGTAAGTTTCTAATAAACATTTGCTCTTGTATAAGCAAAAAATGTGTAATAATGTAGTTAATATGAATCTTTCATTTAAGTTCTGTTGGTGAAAGGTTCGACCTTGCCAAAAGTTCGTTAAACAAAAGTTTTATGAGAGTTGTTGAATGTTTGAATGATATATCAGGCCAAATCATTTTATGGCCAAGAGGCCAAGACCTTGATAGAGTGAAAGCCGATTTCAACCAAAATTCATTACTACGAGGCATTATTGGTGCCATTGATGGTACACATATTCTTATAAAAGCTCCTAAGGTATGTAACTATGTTATTGATGTCAATTGTAAAAATATGTGATATTGTAGTAAGTACTTGGAAATAGGAGAAGAGAAAAAAAAGTATCATATGCATTTCTTTCTTTTATTCCAGATTGACTCCCAATACTATAGAACCTATAAGAAAACGTATGCCATAATTTTGCAAGCAGTCTGTGATGCCCGTATGAAATTCACTGACTGTTTTGCAGGATTTGCAGGTTCAGTTGGAGATTTAAGAGTCTTCAGAAATTCAGATTTATGGAGAGAAATTCAAATAGATAAACAATCCTTCTTTCCCAATGATGAATTTATTATTGGTGATAAGGCATACCCTGTCTTAACATGGTGTATTTCCCCATATATTGACCGTGGTCAACTTACAGCTGTAAGATATTTCGTTACTTATTCTTATATTTTTTTCTTGTAGAATTGATTTAAATTTGTACATTTTGTGATATCTTCTTTTCAGGCCCAGATAAAATTTAACACCGTTCTTTCATCAAAACGGTCAGTGATTGAACGTGCATTTGCACTACTAAAAGGTAGATTTCGTAGATTAAAGTTTCTTGATATGAACGTAGATGAAATGATTCCCCATGTTATAATTGCTTGCACAGTATTGCATAATATATGTTTGGATGGCATTGATGAAAATGATGTAGAAGACTTTATACAGGAAGGTATGGAAATGGAGATTGAGGAGGCTTATGCTAGAAATATACCTAATGAAGAGGCAGGAGAAGTAAAACGTCAATATTTGTGTGCACTTGTCACTGAAGCTTAATATTGACACACAATCTCATCATTTTTGCTTCCTCATAAAGGAAGCTTCGTTTTCGTCAAAAAAATTTTTGTCTTAGCTTGTCTAATCAGATTTATTGTTGGCATTAGTATGATTCATAGAATTTGCATACAGATTTTAACGAGAAATAGATGAGAAGGCATGGATAATTAAAGATATTATTTTAATTATCGAACTTAGTAACACATGATAAAATACTTACTACTTAAAATAATCAATTATACTAGATAACTTAACTGTTTTATGTACAACTAGGAGAAAGATAAATAAAGTAATATATCTTTTCCTAACCGTAATTAGAAAAAATGACTTTTCACAAAATAAAAAGTGTGCAA